AGTCGACGTCAATGTCTGTCGTCTGTCGCCTGTTCCCTGGCTTAGCTGCCCGTCGCCCGTCCTGCCTACATGCCCCTGCCCTTTGCCCAGCCTCGCATCTGCTGTCATGTAAAGTCTTGCACAATTGCTCATCACATTGGGCCACCTCTCGCTGCTGCTCGCTCTGATTCTCTTGCCACTCAAAAATGAGAAATTGTCGCCGATTGTCAGTTGTTGCAACTTTCCGAGTCCCCTCTAGCTGAACGCCTCTGGCCCCCACTAAGTACTTATAAATCAACTGCGAGTCATAACTTTTTTTTCTGCAAACGTTCCGCGTTTAATGAAGTTTCGCCCAAGGGTTGGAGCGGACGCACCGAATGGCGCAGAATTCAAGTCCCGACAGCCGCCTCAGGCTAATCCCGAGGCCACTTGAAGCGCATTAAAACATGTGCACGATTGGAGTTCTGCGGAGCTGCCCTTAAAGAGGATGTTTGCATTTACCATATTTATGCCATATTCAGTGTTTCTCTCTGTGATGCTAGTTTCGAGTTCATTAAGCAGCTTTCATTTGAATGTGCCGCAAAATTGTTTTCAGCAAAGGTTCCCCACAAAGGGGGAATACAAAACGAATCTTTCATACGAAAATTCCAGCTGCAGGCCTAAACGGGAAAGTTAGATTGGAGTTTCCGTTTTACGTTCTTCGGGTTCTATTTGTACTATAAAATCATCTGCTAAACTCTAGTCTTCGACAGAAATTCCATCACATTTCTATAAATAATTTATAGAACCTGAGAAACTTTCGTTCTTCTCTGAGCATGGTGAGTCTTGAAATACTCCCACGATTAACAATGCTGGAAGCGCCGCAACTAATTGTTTCATTTAACGAACTGCACTTGGCCCAAGCCACGACTCACTCATTGACTCGGTCGACTCACTCGCTCAATGAGCACCCATATCCGGGCTAAAACACATTTGGCTACCACTTAATTTGCAAATAGTGAAGCGAAAGCTGCAGGCGCTGCACGCTTTGAAGCAGCCACAGACAGACCCAGACCCAGACCCAAAATCGCAATTCCGATAAACATATTAGAAGCACTACGAAATACAATTACTTAACTCAAGCAGCGAACGCAGGGGGGCCGGAGAGGCGGGAAGTGCAGCGGGAGGTAGTAGGTGCTGATGCTGCTAGTTTGTCAACCAATTTGAAAGGCCTCTGGGCAAAGTCGCGTGAGAATCTTTTTGCCACAAAAGAGGAAACAGCCAAAATGAAAACGAAGAACGGATAAAATATCAAATAAGAGTCATCCAGCTGAGAGTGCTCGACTAGGAGCTACCCTAGTTACCCGGCTTCTAGCTGACCTTTGTGTTTGTTGCTTATCGATTGTATTCAATTGTCAGCATATATCAAAAAGGAAAGAATTCTTATAATAATAATCATTGCGTAAGTACATTAAAATAATGTTGGCAAATTTGTTGTTGATAGCTCGCATAATATAAAAGATATGGTCAATAGCTGCAGACTAAATATCGATATTTACCGATTTGAGAAACTAAGAGATTTGAGAACTTAAAAAAATTAAGACCAATAATCGATGTTTACCGATTTGAGAAACTAAGAGGAAACATCGAAAAGCAAATATGCTTGCCTTGCTGTTTTAAGTTCTCTCAATGCTCAAAATAATAAAGAGCAAACAACGATATTTATCGATGAGAAACTACGAGGAGTTAACGAACAGGTAACATGCTTGTCTTTGGCACATATGCGGCTCAGATAACTCTCTTAATGCTTAAGAAATTGGGATTAAACATCGATTTTTATCGATGTGCAGCAGTAAGAAAAGTAATCGATTAAAGTCAACTTCTCTAAGATATAACTGAACCTTACCATAGACCTGACTTCAAGCCTGTAGCTTTAATTGTTTTTTGGATCGAAGCATTGACAGCAGAATATATCTACCTCATGTAATAGAAGTTGCCTTCTTCTAACTGCTACAAACACACGCATTAAGCTACTATACCCATTCTCACGGGCTTTTCATGCGTAGAGGGTATAAAGACGAGGCCAAAAGAAATGCAAAGTCACGCTCAAGATTTTTGGCCCCGAAGCGCAGGTCGTACGTTCAGGTTCAGTTTCAGTTTTCAGTTTTCAGCATTTGTTGCAATTGCTGCGACTGTCGAACGCTGTTGTTGGCAACAAAATATGGTCAGAGCTAAGGCAACATTTTTGCCCTTTAAGCGCGGGCGTGCAAATAAATCTTGGCCACAATTGCGCCAAGGCAGCCGCAGCACAAGTGTCCCAAGGACCCCGCATGTCCTAGCCCATTCTTGGCCAATTTTCTGTATTGTCTCTGGGCTGGCCACAGATCACGGGCGCTTTAAACGCAGCTAAACAGCTTCATGGAATGCGCTGTGATTGAAGGCACACCGAACTATGTACAGATTGTCGAAGGAATCGCGTTCCCAATGCCAAATCAGGTTGCACTTGTGCAATAATAATGAGCATGATCATGACGATGATCGTTTGATCAGTTGCATGTTCTATAGCTACATCAATTTATTTGTAGCCTTCTGCTCTTTCTTTCCTTTTTTTTTTTATTTATTTTTTATTCATGTTGTCCACATGTTGTGACTTTGTTTGGCATACATAATAACAACGACAAGGGGCAAGTCGATAGATCACTGACTGATCATCAATTCGCTGACTGTCTGACAATGTTGTTCTTGTTGTTGTTGTTGTTGTTGTTGCTTGCTGCTGTTGCTGCCTGGCTAATGATCGTCATGAGCTTTATTTTGTTTGGCATGTTTATCTGCATCTTTCATGTTCGCATGTAATTTACTTTTGCCCGTCGATCAGTGATCTGTGCTGATCTCTCGCGCTCTCTCTCGCTCTCATCGTGTCTCTGTTGCCTGTTCTTTAAACCTAATTAGCTTTTTGACTTCTTGTCGCTGTCGCTGTCACTGTCTCTGATTTCATGTTGTCGATCTGAGTGATCTTCTTTGGCTTTGTCTACACGTCCAAGCGATCTTCGCGTCAATTGTTCATGAGAAATAAAACGTGCTTTTTCCTTAAGTGCTTAAATGGAAATTCAAGTGGAATTAGCCGTCTAACAAGCGGACAATTATAGACCAACAGACATTAGCGATCATTCGTTTAGCGATCACTTTGAGAATTGATCGAGAAACGTTCAAGCATCAGTTTTTAAAGCACTTTTATTGGCTGTAAATATTTTTTTTAGCTTTGTACTGACTGACCATTTAATTGGAATTGCGGAATTCCTTCTGCAAGGGTAGAAAATAGGTGGAAAGAGTCAAGATCTAACATTTTTATCTCTTACACGATCAGCTTTAAACTCATTTTTAAGAATCTTTATAGATACTTGATGACGAAAAGAGAGGGAGAGAAAAGAGTATCCTTCCATGCATTTCCTTGCTATTAACTATATATAAATCCCTCTGTGGAAAACTAAAAGAAAATATGACAGGGCTGGGCAAAGCCGGTTAAATTCAGCTAGCTTCACATAAAACGAACTGCGTAAGACAAACCCTTTATATTATTCACGAATTTCCACATATCATAAAAGATCTGCTATCCGAAGAGTCAATCGACAGACAAAGACAAATTGCCGCATTAAGCGATAGCCGATCTAAGGGAAATAACAACAATTAATTCAATTTGCATTTGTTAAAAATACAACAAGAAAAAGCCGAAATTTTTGCCATGCATATATAAACTATACATATATATATCTATTATATCTATATATGCAAATGGCGAGCCCCAACAAATTGTGGATACAACAAATACAACTGGGCGAACAAGGCGGCACGGGGCACTATCAAAGCCAAATACAAAATAGTTGTCGGCATGCGATTTTATTGACCATTTCAGATTCAATTAGGGGTAATTTAATTTCAATAATAACTCGATATGTGGCCGGCACACACACAGCAGGCATTCAAAAGATACATAGATACAATTTTGTATCTCATCTTGTCTGCGACTGGCTGCGGTTTTATTTGCTGCTCTTGATGGCTGCTCTGCGCCGCAAGCTTTTGGGCGCATTTCTGTTGCATGTTGGTTACAGTTAGAGCCAAATGTAGTTGTTGTTGTAGAAATATAACTCGTTTTTTGGCCACAGCGACCATAGCCAAATGCTGATTTGAATTTTGCGTGCGGTAAATGCTTTCAAAATTAGTGCGCATTGCAGTTTTTTCTGTCTCGTTTCTTTACTTTTCATTAAGCCCGATTAAGTCGCTGTGTAGTTCATGTTGGCTTAATGAATATGTGTGTGAATTGTGACTTGTATTCCCCATAGTACTTCTAAATGTAATCGCTTGATTGGGCAATATCTGTATCTCACACTAAAGCATTTTGCATGAGTATGTAAGGCAACTTTTACATTATTTACAAGCTCAGTTTATTTAAATGAGTAAAGAAGACTCTATCCCATCTGGAACTCTTCTTCAATCTTTCCTGCTGTTAACGTTACAAGGAACTTTAGCATCTTGTCATAATTGTAGATAACTATTTACGTAACTAATAAGGTGTTGTCAACTTATCGGCAGAGCCCTGTCACATCTTAACAATTACCTAACAGGAGGTTTAATAGAACGTTAGTTTATGTCAAATTTATCTTTTTACTCTTCCGAGTTTTGTTGCTTGTTAACAATTAGCTAACAGGGGGTTTAATAGAACGTAAGTTCCTGTCAAAAATTAACTTTTTATTTATTTTTATTCAAAAAACAAAAGCATTTAATCTAAGTTGATATTTGCTTATTGTCACTCTCTGTGTGTTTCTAGCTCTACCTGCCTTTTTTACATATTTCTTTTGCACCTTAATGATTATGTTTAGGAACTGGCACATGAGCTTATTAGCTCGAATTCCAGCTGTCTGCCCCTCGTCAAATATTTTTTAATTTCTATGCTCGATTTCAGCTAATTTGTTCGTCACTTGACCACAACAAAAAAATGCCAAAATACAAATTTTTTTTTATATATTTTTATTATGGGACTCGCTTACCTGTGTCTGTTGACTCTTGACCGCGCAGCGTGTGTGCTGTGTGTGTGTGTGTGTGAGTGTGTTAACTCGTGTTGCTTTGTGTGTCGCGTGCAGAGCGCGCCGACGTCTGCGTGTTGCCCCCGTTCGCGCAACGTTGCCCCATTGTTGAGGGCTTCGCATTTTGATGTTGACCCCGGCACCTGCGAAAACAAAGAGCGACACGCAAATGCATTTTTAAATTTGTTGTTATTATGGTTGTTGTTGTGTTTTGTTTGCTTTGCGGTATTTGAAAAACGCAACAACAAAAAAAGCAAATACAAATAAATGGAAAAACTTGAAAATTGGCGCCGGTGCGTGCAGCCGTTTGTGGTTGAAAACCAAAATTTCAAATCGAACAAAACGGACAAAATTATGATACAATATTTATGGCGGCAACAAAAAGATACCAAAACTAATAACAACGACAGCAAGAAGAAGAAGAACAAACGGCAGCCGTGAAAATGTTGCTGTTGCGACCTTTTGGCCAGGCACATACACACACGCACGCATTGTATCTATGTTAATTAATTAACAATTAATTAAGCGAAACAGCAACAACAACAACAGCAACAACGCCAGCTACTTCATCGATGACGTCGCTAATGGTTAATGATGAGTTTTGGATTTGGGTTTGGCCTCGTTTCAAAGCGGACAGTAGGGCTCTGGGCCAGCTCTGGCTCTGGCTCTGGCTCTTTGTCTTTGCCTTTGCCTTTGTCTCTGGCCACGGTTGGCGTGCCTAAACAAAATTGTTTGGAGCCAAGCAGAGCAGCCGCTTTCAAGCTGCCGTCTGCAGCTTCGTGCGGGTGCATGCGTGCTCCAAACGCATAGCCAACAAAATACCCAACCCCAAAAAAAGAAACAAAAAAAAAACAGTCCACTTCAGTCTGGAGTCTGTCGTGTGGTTGTTGTTGTTGTCGTTATCAGCGCGTATATCAAATGCGGGACAGCTTTTTATTAGCTTTTTTATTCGTTGACTCCTTTGCTTGCCCCAGCAACAACAACAACAACAACAACAACAACAACAGCAACAACAACAACAACAACCCTAGCCACAACAACAACTGAAGCATATGAAATTGATTAATACAGCATGATAAATATTTTCGATTTCTTATTTTATCTATTTTTTGGCTTTTTTTTTTAAGATTTACGTTTTTTTTCTATTTAGTTTTTTTTTACAATTTGTGTTGTGCACGATATCGGTTAAGCCCATGATGTATAGTTTTTCGATAAGTTAAACATATATTTTTTTTTGGTGTGAGAAATTTGTTTCGGACATTTTCGACCAGCCTCTGATGTTGTGTGCAGGAAATTGAGGCGCGGCAAAAAGAATATTTACAAAAATCCATTTAACAAAAATTTGATAAAGTATCTAATGAATTTTATCCGTATGCATGAAGAAAATCATTAAAAGATTTTTGAGAAAGCAGAAAATGCTTCAATTTGATGGAAGCAGAAAAAACTGATACCGAGTCTATGAATAAATATATATAAATTTGTAATATATTGTAACAGATCTACAAAAAATGAACATATGCTTGAAAGCTTGAATACAAATCTAAAAAAAAAGAGCCATCTTTCGGGTGGCTTTTATTAAAAATGCGTTGCTTGTAAAAGTAATATAAATTTAAAAAATTGTACAATTGAAGAGAATATTAAAATATTTGTGAATTCAAATTGAAAAGTACAGATCGAAAACCAAATAATTTTCTTAGCAGCCAGGAAAATGCTGCGGCACCCGAACACGGCTGCCAGGGCCGTGGCATCACAGGGAGTTAGGGGGATGCCCCCAAAGGTCACACCCCTGCGACTTATCTACTAGGCGAATCACATGAATCATCATGCTATGTCCTCAGTACTTTTATCATTGGTATGTCCAATTCATTGTAATCCCATCATTGTAAATACCATATAATCTACCAAGTTGTAATGACAACAAATCTATAAGACAAATCACATAAAACAAAACAAAAAATAAATAAAATCAGCCAAGAAAAAAAGTTAACAATTTTTAAGAAAGCTGAATATCTAGAAAGCCCCAAATCTATAACCAAAAAGAAACCAAGCGAGCAATTTAATTAGCTGTGCTTCTTCTGACCAGCCAACAACTTTAAGCACTCGCATACCAATTGCTTAGCCACACACAAATTCAATTAAAAGTCCAAATTACATACACACAGAGAATGCCAGTTGTGAGTGCTTAACAAGCAGCTCGTATCTAACACACCTTCAGCTTTGGAGAGCTCAGAAGCAGCAGCAGCAGCTCGCAGCGCGCGCGCCATTTAACAAGTGCAAAATCTGCGTATAAATCTTCTAATCTCTGGCCCAAATCGCGGACAACAAACACAAGCCAACGCCTTAGCACCTAGGCGCACAAAAAGCACAAGAAGAACAAGCTGAAAGCCAAGCCAAAAGGGTGGCTGACTGGCTGGCGGAGGTTTGAGGCGGGTGTCTGTGGCAATTTGTAGGTTATGCCTTAGAATGGGGCAACGCGTCTGGTTCGTGTCGTCGCCAACAACTAAAAATGAATCAAATTAGAATGCTTGCCAAGCCCAGGCATGGCCAGCAGAACGACTTCCGGCCGAAAGTGAACTTTCGAAAAAGGGTTAAAAACAAGTCGCGTCCAGGCTATAAAATTATTTGGGTGAGGCATCTTTGCTCTTAGCTGGTAACAGGGCGGGTGTGTGTGTGTATGCGTGTGTGTGTGTGCGGCTGGGTGTGCGTGTGTGGGTGTAACACAAATTGCTCGCATGTCTGCGCAGTTTTATGACACTGGCAATCGAAACTTGTGGCAGTTAATTAATATTATGTGCTGTGCGTGACTGTGTGTGTGCCTGTATGTGTGTGTGTGTGTGTGTGTGTGTGTGTGCGTATCATGTGTTTGCACAAATCCTGGATATTTGCCAAGCCTTAAGCATTTGCACAATGATTAATTCATCACTTGATACGAACTGAATTAATTATACTTAATGCAAATTTAGAAATAAAATAATCAAATTAATCATTGATAAAATCATCAACTATTCAATATGGCAAATGAAATACTAAATATTTAGTTAATAATAGCTTTGAAATATTTCGTAAGCAAGGAAATGTATTAAACAAATCTATAAATAATTATTTATTATTATAAAGAAACTATAGTTAATTGAGGATTGAATATAAAAGAAAACTAAAACGGAATTCGATTGTGTTTGCGAAAGGTTAATAAAAGAAATCCTAACTAAACCAACATTTAGGCGATTTTTACATTATATATATATATGAAATATTATTTTATATATATATGTATATATATTATGTGAATATAACTAAATCTTATGAAAATTCAACTTGAACATATCGTTTCATATCCAAAATTATTATGAATAAATTGTTCATAAATGAATATATATGACATACATGAATAATAAAGGGATTGAAAAGTCGAGGTGAACAAAAATTTGTTTAGGTTTGACAGAGTTAAAAATATTAAAAAAATATATATATTTATATTATATTATATAAAATAAAAGAAATATGTAATTAAATATATGAAAAGCAGAAGATAAAGAAGAAGATGTACAATGTATACAAAAATATATATTAAAATATAAAAAGATAAAATTGCAAATTTCAAATACAAAATTGTTATTCAGTTTCAAAATAGATAAACCTAATAACCCAATAAACCTTTACTATTTACTTACGCCTTTCTCAATAACATTCTGTTTAGCTTACTCGCATTCATTTATCAAACGTAAGCACCTGCAAGCACAGAAATCCACAACAAAAAAATGCAAACCAATTAAATTAAAAAATTGTCAGTTGAGGCAGAGAGCAGGGCAGAGCTGCTACAGCAGGGAGAACAGCAGTTGGGGCCGTGTTAACAGCCACGCCCAAATTGAATTGATGCCAGTCAAAGAGGTCATGAAATTGCCGCGTAATGCTGCCAGATCGATGCCCCAAGTGGCGCGTTCACGTGGCGCGCAGCGACTTTCAACTTTTCATGTCAAATCTTTTAAGACTCATCAACATCATTTAGTCGACGGCATGATAAATGATGCACATGTCCAGGCATCTATTTTTTACGCCCCGATTTGAGTTCATTCTTTTAGTTAGCGGAAGTCGTCTTCAAACACTGCAAAAGTGCACATCATCATCATCATCATCATTATCAACATCTTTGGTTTTATAATAATCATGTTGCAAAAGTCGCCACACTCCAAACAAGGATAACTAAACCAACTCAAAACTTTTGCTTGCCAAAAAAAGAAAAGAAAAAAAAAAGAAATAAACCAAATTTATGATTTCGTTTCTGGGAAATGCTGTGTGTGTGTGTGTGTGTCGAAACTGTGAGAGGGCTTTTTTTTGTTGTTGTGGAAGTTATGAGTCTGCGTTGGCTCAATGGGAGCGCATGAATTAACCGCAACACTTATCACTAAGCGCAGCGGGACTTTAAGAATGCTCCAATTCTTGGGAAAACGTACTTCGGTTGCCTAAACGTTTGCAGTTTATTATCTATACTCTGCGAAAGGGTCAAAGTGGGCATATACTGTGATATATTGTATTCGTTATACAATACTCTTGGGAAGTTTTTATATCTCAACAATCCGTATAGGCATTTGTGCCTCAGACTGAATTATATAGTACCATGGCTTGAAAAATACAATATGAAATGTAGTTTAATACAATTAATATTCAACAAAATAGGTTTTGAATATTTATATATAAACATATAAAAATAATATATATTTAATCAAAATCATTTATAAAAAAAATAATAAAAAATGCAATAGGCAAACAGAGCATCTTCATGGTCGTAAGTTTTGTTTCCTTTTACGCAATGTTGTTTATGGTATTCTCTGCCTAAATGGAGCACACAGTGGTCACAGCTGGAGCATATAGCTGCAAAGCGTCGAAGTTTATGCGAGCATACAAATATATATCTTCTCATATATATCAGATGATAAATGATGTTATACGCAAATTTGTTTATGAGTGCAGCTTTGTAATTGATGGCTGCACTTCCCAGCCAAAATGCTCGACTAGGCCAGCTTTTGATCTGGCCAAAGCTTAAGCCTTGAGTTCAAAGCAGAGTTAGATATTGCCTGCAGTTGCAGTCGTTAACTGTTTTAATGGGACGCTAAAATCCACGCTAATGACTCAATTTGGAATGGCCGGTACGGGCACAAACTAGGCCCATAAACTTGCCCGCAAGGAGCTTACATAAAACTGAGACGCAACCCTATGCAAATAAATCAATATTTTAATTTTATTAGCCGTCAGCCCTGGGGCGTGCAGCACGGGGCACGGTACACGGGGCACGGTACACGGGGCGTATGCGCTCTATCAGCAAACGAACAAATGAATGTTTGCTGCCTTGTAAATAATTGTTAATGGCCACATAAATAAAAACAAACACGCGCTGAGGTATAACTCGGCTGCTTGTTAAACAAATATTTGCATTTACCACTGATTTACACACACACGAATACACACAAATACACACGCACGCGCGCTATGCGTGTGTGTTGTGTTTGATACGAAACAAACAAAATTTGCAGCTTAATATAATAATAAGAACAAAATATTTGTGAGGAATGTGATTTGTTGAACATAAATACAAATATGTTCACTCTAGCATTTTATTGGCAAATATTAAATAATAATTTTTTATCCGATTCAGTTAATTTAAATCGTTCGAATAACTGAATGCATTTATACATTTTTAACATTTTATATTCTGAATAAATTCTTAATATTTTACTTTATAATTGAATAGTTTTGTTTGGTTCATAAAAAGTTTATAACACATGTTGGGGTTAAATAAATTGTGTTCTATAGAAAACAAAACCCATTAACACTCTCTAAGCCTGAATCGTTTGCTTATTTCTGTTATTATTAAAAAATCTAGATTATAGCTGACTCTTTACATAAGTTAATCCAGTCTAACTACTCAAGCTGTATTCTAAGCTATATCATAATCTTCTGCTTCTCACATTAATATGGCGATACTTTGCTAAGCGCGCACAAAAACTGCTTCTACTTAATATATAATATAAAGAGATAGATGTTTATTTTTATTGACAAATTACTCTATCAAAAAGCGAGCATCTAACAGACCAAAACAATAAAAATAGTTTATATTTCTTTTTTTTTTTCGCATGCTTTTGCTCATAATGTGTGCGAGTCGTGAGGGAGTGAGGGTTAAGGCGAGGAAATATGTATATATATGACTGTCGGATAATGATAAACATTTTGTTGTTCCTTGGCTTTTTACTTGGGTGGGTAATGGCACTCGTATGTAATGATTATGGGGCCACTTTTCTCATAAAAATTCAAGCGGCAGACTCAATGATGATGACCATGGTTGGGAGCGCGTGAGCTGATGATGTCAAAACAAGCAACAAATTAGACTGGCAACAACAAAAACAACCACAACAACAACAGCAACGATACTGAGTTAAGCACACACTTGAATTGAATCATTGATAAACAAGCGACGGCTTCTATTGCCTTTGATTATGCTGCTCCGTGGAGAGTTTTCGAGGGTGATGTTCGGGCCCAATCTCGATTATGCAGAACGTATTTTGCCAACACATCTGAGCCCAGAGACCACATAATAATCATTATATTTTATTATATATATTAACACGAGAGCGAACCCCACACGAAATCAACTTTAGCAAATTTTCATCTACCATCCGAATTTGCCCCAAAAGTTGGGGGTTACAACAAGAAGTTGCACGCCTCAATCGTCGTTTGTTTTATCAACCGAAAATGCTCCAATAACAAAACAGCATTTTGCCCAGGGCCAGACAGTAGGAGGCTCCCAAGGGGGGAGGAGGCGTGAAAGGTGGAGAGTGTGGGTAGCAGAGAGCTGGCGGTAAGGGGCTTGGAAAAGTCGACGCTTTCGGCGTGTTTTCGCTTTGGTTACCCGTCGCTTCTTGATTTGCTAATTCCATGGGTGTGTTTTCTCGGGCATTTAGACAAGCCAAAACGGGCGCCCCCCTTTATACGTATACATCTTCTTTATTTTTTTGTTCGGGTTTTGTGTTTCCTTTTGAAATCGAATGCGTCTCTTCCACCCTTGCCGGGTGCTGTTCGGTGTCTTTCAAGTTGTCTGTCTGACTGACTGTCAATTGGTTTCTTGTGCACAAGCTCTTTTGGTCATTTCCTCTTACGTTTTAATTTTATTAAATTAATTACATTTTTAGAGTGTTCTGTGTATTTGAATTGTTAGCAGAAGCCATGCTCAGTTAGTTTCAATTGGAGATTGGGTAAGTTTTTGTTCAAACTGGTTGAGAATTATAATATTAAGTAATTTAGAAAAGTTTAAAGATATGCCAATGGCAAGATTATTGAGAATAAACACAGAACTACATTGGCAAGCTTTCATTTCAAAATCTCTAGAGAATATGGAAGATATTGAGATCCTCTGTTTGATCTGCGGACCTCTTAAACAAACTTTGACAGAAGCAAAAGTAATCCCATTCTATGTCAAAGTGATTCAATTTGTTATACACGAGAAAAGCGGAAATTATACAAAATAAGTAATATAAACAATAACAAGAACATGTTCCATGCATTGAAGTCAGTTATCAAGGCGCCACCCACCTCAATATCAATACCGCAGAGGCTGGTGAAAAGCAGGGAGCACGCGTATCGATTTTTGGGACAGACGCAGCTCTCGTCTGCCTTCAAATAAGTAAACTGCGCTTTGAGGCTTTCATTGACGGCCGGATAATAATAGCAGACGATGAAGAGGCCCTTAAACATGATCGCTGCACTGCAGCCAATAAATTCTAAGCTCGGCCAGATTAACTGGGTTAAGTTACCCATTTTGCCTTTAAGCTGCTCCGTGACTAAATCATGCGATGTGATTTTTATTCTGCCCAATTCCAAAAACCATTGTCGTACCGTTCTTCCCTCCCATTCATTGAGCAGCGCGAAATGCTGGCGGGGCACAAACACCGTGTTTTGACCCACACGATAGCCGTTAAGGCCGATAATCAAGCAGGTGTCCCGGTACGGCCGGCACAGATGCAAATACTGCTCGGCCATGTGCTGCAAGTGCATATTCCAATAGACCAGATTCATATTAGCGAGCTTCTTGTCGTAGGCCACTTTGTTGCGTAATCCGTTGTGCACATGCACCATATTCGAGCGGGACTTTCGGGTAATGGGCACGAGCACAAAGCGTTTGCAATTTGGTGACGCTTTCATCGGATCCTTGGCGCAGAGGAAATTAGGTTTGCCATCTAAGCAGCTGGCGGATTGCGGACAAATTGTCGTCTCGCTACCAAAATTGAAATAATACGGATTGTCCAAATCATCTTCATCATGATCGCTTCCGTCTTGACCAACTACGCGACCTATATAACTGAATACTACCAGCGCTATTACTATCTTCATATTTTATATATATGTAGATATTGATTTCCGAGTATTATTGGAAAGGTCACTGATCCTCAAATATTTTTTGTGTGTCAAAACGTTTTAGATAGATTGATTGATGTCGAATAATAATTTTTATAATATTTAATATTGACTTTGTTGAATGACAATGACAATGGCAATGGCAATGACAATGATAATTATAATAAGAATTACTACAATAATAAAAAAAATAAATAAATAAAAAATAGCAAATAAATTTATATGCGGCGGACATTGATTTTCTATTGAAAAAAATCCCACAAATAGGACACAATTTAGCTGCCCACCTGCCGCATATTGGCCACGTCGCATGCACAAAACTTGGGCTATAAATTGAAAAAGTAAATTTGATGTGGATTTTCTTGAGCCAGCGCCATTCGGAATATAGAATTCAATTCCCTTGTAAGGAGCGTGGGGTGGCAATGCAATATGTTTATCAGTATATTGATTTTCAGCATTGAAAACAAACATGTTTGCCCCATGGATTTGCTTGATTGCAGCATGCTACACACACACCATCTGCCAAATGTATCCACATGCCGCACAATTCAGAATTCCCCTCTTTGAAAGCCCTTAAAGACTTATGTCAAATGGCAGCAGATCAAATATCCTGTGGTTAAAATGCGATTCAGTGATAAATGCGACACACATGCCACGAACAAGGGGCTAGGGCGGGAAGTTTGGGGCAAACAAACAAACGAAATACACAGAACAAACCGAGGGGTAGTCCAGGGCACACCCAAGACTCTTGGCAAGGTTAGCAATGGGGTCATTTGTGCCCGTCACGCGCCCCACGCATAATGCATGCCGGGCCATCAATATGGCGGCCGCACGCCCTGTCCTGGCCCATATTCTAGACTTTAGTAAACCCATTCCGGTATCGGGGAAAACTTCTTGCACGTTCTCACTGTTAGGGTCGATGCCATTAGTTTTCGGGTTCGGGTTCAGGTTTTGGTCCATGACTGTGTTTGCGGTCGAAATTAAATTGCAATTTCAAACTTGCTTTAGCCAGTTTCATTTTTATGGGATTTGCGTTGCGCCACGCTTTGTTGCAACTATTTCCCCACCGATCCTAAGCCCTTACCCACTCCACAAACACACACACACACACACATGCACACAAAATCGACTGCGGCTACGTGCAAAGTGCAGTAAAAGTTTTGCCAGCCACCGTTAAATGGATAAATGGTTTGGGGCATGGGCTTGGGCTTGGGGTTGGATTGGGGGTTGGGTATGGAATAGGTGGATAAGTGTATCCTGGTGTTCTCAGTTACCGTTACGCTTAATGCATTTGATTGCACTCGTTGTGTCATCAGCTCTCTGCTTCTTTATCTTTCTCTTCCTATGCGCTATCAGACTATAAATACAATTAATTTCTGCGCTAGGATGTCGCTAGCGAGAGGGTATTATGGATATTATGACATGAAAAAGACATCAGGAACCCATAGTTATCCATAAGTTATATGTTGCTTCGAGAAACCTAACCTAAACCTAACCTAAACTAACCAACCAATTAGCATTGGTTTTATTGTTAATCAATAGTCATTAGATATTAATATTAGAAAATTATAGGCTATGGTATGATATTTTAAAGTATATGAAGAAGATTATGAAGATTATTATGTATATATACAAATTTCTTCATTTAAAAGCTAATAATGAATTTAGTATAAAGGTCAAAGAATGTATTTTGAACTATTTGGTGAAGAACATAGAGGGACTTGTTCAATTTAAATTAATCCGAAATATATATAAATTTCTGATTTATTTTTTAGTAAGTTAGCATAAGTAAAGTGAGCTTTTCCGGCATTTAGTTTAACTTCTAATCAAATTTAGATGGCACAGCTTTAATGTTGCATAAAATTATTAACATTTATAATAATCAAATCAAATAACTCAAACGCCTTATAAGTATATTATAAATTTTAAAAATTGCTATCTAAACTAGTAAAACTAAAACTAGTACCTTAACGTATCTGTAGGCAGTTTGTCTGATTGTGGTCGTAATTTAAAAAGGAACCCAAAATGTATAGAGTCATACAATGAAATAATTTCAATCATGATTATATAACAAATTGCTGATATCATTGACAATGATATAAGTCTTTATATGATTATATGAATGCATGTTCCCTATAAATCCACAGTAAGTGTATTCAAAGTTCAGCTTTACGTACATATCTATATTGTTAACCGCATTTCCTTTAGTTTTTTTTTTGCTTTATCTCGAATTGAGTGTTTTGTTTTTGATATTTTGTAACTCAACTAAGGTTCATTCATTTAGCAATGTCAACAGTTGGCTGACCAGAGGCGCCTTTGTTCGCGCAGAATGTGCGAATGAATGAATGAATGAATGGAATGGCAGTAAGAGGATATAGGGGGAAACGTTGCGCAGGGTATAGAATGGAAAGGCACTTGCGACTTGGCTCTCACGTAGCCGCAGTTAGTTTGGGTCGTGTCAAGTGTCGTTGTCAGTGGCGCGGAAATCCAAAAGCAGGCAGCTTGACTGAGTGACTAACTGAAAGACTGACTGACTAACTGACTAACCGACTGACTAACTGACGCTGAGCACTTTTGAACGGCTCTGCGAAATCTGTGCGCTACCAACAACAATGGACGGCGACTTGACCAACTTCAGCTTTCAGTTTGTAAAATGTGGCAAGAAAAATGATATGATGCCAGATGCTTAACAGCATACTGGGCATTGCAAATGAATTTGATAAATGAAGCAAAAGTTTTCTAGGGCCCGGCGTTGGCATAGTTCTATTCAAGAGATACGAGAATAGAGAATACGTGAGACTGCCAGAGAAACCCCTGCCAGCGCTCTATAGTTCCATAAATAATGCAATCATTAAATAAGTTTTTGCAGGCAAACGAATGCAATTTACTCAACTTGGTCGCTTGTTTATTTCTTATGCTGGCATTGCAAAGTCAGGAACTTTGATTACACTTGCAAAGGGTATTCAAAATTTAACGCACACTGGAAAAGGCATAAGAAGTAGCTGCAATTTGATTAGATACAATATTAGTATATATATATAAATATATTCTGAAACTATCTTGATAAGACTTGGCTTGTACATATATGACATAGCATAGGCAAGGTCATTTAAGCTTCGGCATTCAAAAGATAACTGTGTCAGCTTGTTTTTTCTTTCGTTATTCAACTTGAACTTAAGCAAAATAAGAAGAAGAAGCAGCAGTTGCAGAGCAGCAATCAACACTCAAGAAGCACCCACAAAGCTTCTGCAATTAATTTCACTTTCAATTTAGCGGCGGCCGCTTTTCATTTTTCTTCTTTTTTCTAAAATGTAAGTGTGTGTGTGTGTGTGCGTGTGTATCTGTAGGCGTTTTTCTCGCCCTCTGCACTGCATTTAATGGCTGATGTGCTGTAAAAAGTCGTTCGCACCCGGGCATGGAAATTAATTTTAATTGCTACAATTTAGATAATCAAATGAGTTTTGATGTTAAGTAAATTAACCAAAATGCCACGCCCACATTCTGCTGCTGCATTAAAAGTTAACCATTAACACTTGCGCTGAGCGCTCGATAAGGGCAACATTTTTACACATTCAAGCGCCAGAGTTCTCTTTCATTTTGGTTTCTTATAATTCGGGAGTCCTTTCAAATAATATATTCTCGTTGGTTTATAAATTGGATTTCAATTAAATGTGTTTAGATCGTAGAACATAGTTCAAAGCATGTGAAAAATACAAGTTATAAGCAAACAAGGATGAAAACTAGAAGAAATTCGTTTAATCAAAGATTAAACATACAAAAATTCTAAAGATTATATAAAACAAAATATATATTATATATATTTATATATATTTCTTATTTTATTATTTAAGTATTTCTCTGACTATTTCTTAAATTTTCTTTCCTTTGCTTAATTTCCAGCACATTTTGCCGAACCACACCCTTATATATGTGACTCATAATTATGTTAGCCCCCGACTTGATTTAATAGGTTGGTTAGAAAACGTTACTCAATGTTGTAGCTCATTAGGTAACCGGATAGTTTGTTTGTTTATTATTATTTTCCCTCTCCAAATCAATTAAACCTTCCTCAATTATTAAATTTGCTGTTAACATCAAATTGCAATCAGCAACATCCGTTCGAGCTTTGCCGCGGCGCCTCAATTATGCACAATTCATTTTTTATGTTTAGCTTCTATTTTCTTTACGCGCACGAACCCAACATTAGCCTAATTTCTGAGCTTAGGTTCAGTTTTTCATTTCCACACTTTGGATCCGGCACCTATTCAGTCAACCACTCGGCAATTAGCCGGTCGCATTAGCCATTGAGCCGAGCCATCGAATTGATGCGCAGCCAAACAAAATCGACAAAGTGCAGCTCTGGCGACTTATTTTCAGAGCGCTTAAAACCACTCGAATTAAGCTTAAAAAGAAAAACAAAAATAAAATAAAATCGTTCCAAAGGGCCAGGAATTAAACTAAATTCAGGTTAGAGTTGAGCGCGTGTTGATAGTTTTCGATAGTTTTGGAAGCCTAAAAACATCATGTAAATATATATGTATATATATATATACATATATATAAAATATTATATTATGTTTGTAGTAATGTTTACAAAATTCACAGGAACTTAAAATGTTCACAATTTACAATTTCTAAGACGTTTGCGGCTTTATGCAAAAGAATCGCATCGATTTAGATATAAATCGATTTGCAGCTTTAGCTTAGAAAGCTTTTAAAATCTTAAATAAGCTAGGTAAGGCCATAATAGACGAGAAACTACAAGACCACAATAATGTCTCTATAATCTTAGTCTACAAATCAAATTGTAAATCGATACTTATCGATTTTGATTTTAAGATCACGTACTAAGTCTAAAAACATTCGATTTGCTATATTTAGCGATTGAGTATTGTTGAAAATATAAAAAGTACAAATCTAAAAGATTATCGATTTCAGAACTTACATAGATATTTAACTCTATTTGATAAACGTTTATACATTTGACTTATGATAAAATTCAACAATATTATACTAACTATTTATAGATGGGTTATGCTCAATGCCTACAAGTTCTGGAGGCAGGTTTTTAGACACGAGCTCAGCTCTCTTTTAGGACGAAAAAACCAACTTTTGGCTAATGCCCAAAGCTCGTTCTGGTCGAATAATGAGCAACTTTTTGACGTGGCACGCAAAGCGAGACAGGTAGCGAGGCACAAAGAGGGCGAGAGTGAGACAGAGATTCAGGGAGAGAGACTGAGTGAGAGGGAGACGGAGAGGTCACGGCTTGCAAAGTAATAAACGCTTAAGTGTTCATGGCTATTGTTTGGCAGGACTTGGGCAGCTGGGCAGCTTGGCAGCTCGGTTGGAACTTCGATGCTGACAGATCGCCAGCTGTAACCGTACAAAACTTGTTAATAATTAATTAAGTTTTATTTATATATCTCGTGTCTGGCTGACTGCATAAAAGCTTTCGCAATGCTTTAACTTTCGCTGTTGAACGTACTGGTCGCCCTTTTCCATCACATTGGCCCAGGCTCTTTGGGTCCGGTCCTGTGGTTCGCCTTTGGCTCGAGTGTGTGGTTATGGCAATAAGATCTATTGCTTGCCATTGTTTTTGTTGTTGTTGTTGTCGGTTGTTGTTTTTTGTTATTGTTGTAGTTGTTGTTGCACGCTCCAGTCAATTCGCGTTTATGTGTTTTATTGTTTCTCGTGCTCTTGTATTTTATTCTTGTTATTTTTTTTGTTTTTGTTTCAAGTTGTGTGTGTGTATTGGCAAAAACTAAGGAAAATGGCTGTGAGAAGGCCAATTGACTTTTTTAAACTTTGACATTTTTACCGGTTTGGCTTTGGCCATATTTTGTTTTTCCTTTTTGCTATGCACTGCTCCTGTGGCCCAGCCATGTCCTTGGCATTTACATTTTGCATAGTTTTTAGAAATGGCTACGCTGTCCGCTGGCAGCAAATGAGCAAATGTCTTAAATCTGACATTTATATCGTTTCAAATATGCAACATCATTAATTGAAGCACATATAACTCATGAAAGCTTTTTAGTGTAATTAAATAAGAATGAGGTTATGTGTCAAAAAGTGTGCGACAGTACTTGGAGACTAGAATAATATTTATATTTTTACTGTATAGAAGTAAATTTGAATATGATTTTGTGATGTTATAACTTATTTTAAGACTTCGGAAAGAAAACTTTTAAAACAAAAATGCGATATAAGTTTTATTATGGAGCTTTAATGTGATTTAAACATTTATTGGGCTTAAATGTGACTTCAAGCAATCAATAGATTTTAAAGTAACCTTTAAAACATTCAAAATAAGCTTTAAGTGAGCTTTAAAAACTTTATGCGAGCTTTAATAAGTTTTAATGGTTTTGTAGATACTGTATGTGACGAATATTATCTAAGCAGCTACAAAAAGAAATGTTTGAAAGCACGTGAAAGCTTTCATTAAAATTAAATTGATGCTTGGATATGTTTGGTCAATTTATGAGAATATAATAAGGCGGCAAGAAAATATTCTTACAGAAAGTTAATTTTATCTTTAAAATTGTTCTTCTAAGATAACGAAATGGTTTATCACACTTAACATTGATTTGTAATCGCAATAATTACCAATATTCAACTTAATCCTTACGCTTTTTTGTCTTTACGGGCTGAAATTCTTAACTTAACGCATTTCCAATAGCAAATGCACCAACATTAATTGGCTTTCACTTTAATGTTTATGAATTTTAATAATCACTTTTTTATTTGTTTTGTGCATATCTGCGCCATAAATTGCAATTGTTGTGCCATCTGCTATGCGAGGCATTCAATTTATAATCAATTTGCAGTTAAAATTCGCACAGCACCAAAATACATGACTCCGGATAGCTGCGATTGAGTGGCAACAACAACAACAACATTTTGTTTATGTCCCATGCAAATTTATTAAATGGTTTTTCCTCCTTTTTTTTTGCTAATTGTTAAAAAACAACGGGGGAAAATTCGTTGCGCCAAAATAAAATGCAGACACATAAATTTGCAACAGACAACAAGCGGCGGCGGCGTTTGACATTGAAAACAGCTGAAAGTGGTACGAGTGCAGCGGGGAGGCAGCAGTCGAGGGAGGGCTGGATTGTGCGTTGGGCATGTGAACGGGCCATGCCGATGCCGACGTGTTCAAGTGTCGCAACTCTAATTTATTTTGGCACCGGACGCCACTGCAACTGCAACAGAGCAAGTCTTAATTAGCCGCAGGCACTTGACAACTTGCAACAGCGACAACTTTTTGGTCAATTGTCTCTGGCGAGGAGACAACTATTTGCCGGGTGGTCCTCGGCAGGCCATCAAGAACTCATTTCCCGTGAGGCATGAGGCGTGTTGGTTGCTGCAACCCTCGAAAGCTGCTGTGAATTTTTCGCTGTCATTAAATTATTAAATGAAGCACAAGAAAAAGCCGCTTTATTTGCACTTGAGCCTGCAGAAACATTGGCTTGTTTCGCATTTACAACTTTTGCTGCTGCCTAATCAAAAGTTGCACTCGGAAACAATTCTTGTGGCGGACTCCCATTTTTTTGTTTGTTTATTTTTTATAGTTTCCGTTTTGCTAGCTTCCACTTTTTGGTTCCCATAGCTCTAATTATGAGAGTTGCTTTTTCGCTCTCACTGTTGTTGATTAACTCGGCCTGGATTAGCCGGATCCTTTTGCACATGTGCCTGAGTGTCTGTTTGTATAGATGTGGGTGCATGTGGAGCAGTTGTAGTCAGTTCTTTGCCCTAGCTCGTTCCTTCTAATTGAGTTTCGTGCGAGTTGTGACAGACACCAAGGCAGACAGCAGCAAAAAAAAAAATAGTAGAAATAAAAATACAGATAGAAAAAACTGCAGCTGTTCTGTTCTCGGTTTGATGCATGGCACTTTAATAGGAAACCTCCAGGAAAATGAAGAAAAAGCTACTGCTAGATATGTTGAGGTGGCCGACAAAATTGATGGAGTGTTTGAAAATGGGAAAAGAACACGGACTCAGCAATTGGTTAACAATGAAAGGACACAGCTAAGTTAAAGGTTATCCTACTTCAACCACACGGTTACTAACACTAGCCGGAACCAGAGCAGAGCTTAGGTTTTGTTATTGTTTTAATCCAGCACATTCACCAACACTCACGTTGAGTTTGATTGTGAATTAGATGCTCATAGAAGCGTATGCAGTTGATAACACTTGGGGATAGTTTTAACAGTTTATCAATTTAATAACTTACCAACACTGGCTGTTAAACAAGTTTGGCATAGCACAATTTCCTGCAATTTTCCATTGGGATGGTTACCATGGCCCTGTAATGAATAAATTTTAGATTTTACCTGTTAATTGCGTCTTGAAAAATATATTTATTTTCATATTTAGTCAAATCTCTCTTAAGCGAACAGCTAATGCTGTCCACTCAACAGGAGTGAGTGAATAAATATGCAAACAGTTTTTAGGTTATTCTATACCTATACCAGTGTTGGAAGGCTGTCAAAAAAACTTGGCATAAGACTAGGCATTTCTCAACTTTTAGACATGGCCATAGTTTCTAATATGATATGCCAACAATAACTGACGCTTATTCCCCATGCCAATTAAGGTTCTCTCTTTCTATTGTCCGTTTACAACACTCAACTCACACACACCCTCACAGCATACACACCAGCGTTAAGTAAACTTTGTCTAAGCAACTAAACCTCACACAGAGAGCGCAGAGTCAAGATGCTGCACAAATTAAAATCAATTTTTGTAACTTGGACTGAATTTGCCAAGTATGCAGACGCAGAGGCAGAGGCAAGAAAGTATGGGAAATGTACAATATGATTTTGAGTAGCAGTCGTTTGTGTGTTGCAATAATAGTTGAACACATAGAAAAAAAGAATGAAAAAAAAAAATAATAATAATAAAAAGAGAAAAACTTTATCGCTGGGCAAAAATCTATTAAGAAAGTTTTGCCACAACGCAGCAGTTTTAGTTGGGTTTTTGTTTCTTCTGGCTAGAACAAGTCGAAGAAGCTGCAAAAAGTTGCAGTTGGCTTCGTGTTTGGCTTTATGAGTTTGCAGTTGTCTCATGTTGTTGTTGTTGTTGTTGTTGTTGCTCTTTCTGGCAAGCTGCCTAGATAAGTGTTAGCGATAGGCTATTGAAACGAAGCCTCAAATAGCCGCCCTGCCCGTCCCCCTAAAAAGCTTTGCCAAATAATAGGAATGTACGCACTTGTGTTTTACCTTTTGCCGGCAACAGCATTTCACTTTACAGTTTTCAAGTTGCCAAAAATTTGTTTTTACATTGTGCGTTGACATTATATTGTAGGCAAGTCGAGTCAACTGCAGCAGCAGCTTTGCCTGGGGAAAATGCCAAGGAATTGTTGTCGACCTCAGCCGCGAGGCATTCACCCATTGAGTTTTAATTAAGAAAGTTATGAACGCAAAAGCATTTGCAGTTCTAATTCAATTTCAATGCTCACATGAACAAAAGCCGCAACACCAAACAACTCACTCGCTGCCAGTTAGCCAAGTTTGCAGCTAGGGCTTAAATATTTTAGACCCGCTCGGCACACAAGCCACATCAATGCCAGACGACATATCAATTGTCATTATTTGTTAGCTTTGCCATTATTTCCCGGCGCGCACACGCATCTATACACACACGCGCGCACACACACACACACTTACTCACTCGCATTGTGGCTCCCAAAAGTCTGCGGAAATGTTCTATATATATATTTCTTAACTGTCGAACTTGAAACAGCTTCCGTTAAATTACTTCAACTGCGTATTTCACAAAAAAAAAAAAAATGGCTGGCAAAAACTTTTATTATTGCATTATTTTTTTTAAGTTTTTCCAATTTTTTTTTTCACATTTTTCTGAAGTTGAGCAAAACGTTTTCGCATTGAGGCGTGTAAAGTTTGCCATTCGCAAAATTAAACAGACAATTTGCGGGCTAGTTAAAAGCGACAGCTTTCACTTCTTCAAAATGATTTCATAACATGAATTGCTGCGCTAGATGCGAGAAATCAAAAAAATCGGATTCTCGTAAAAGCTAAATTCTAGTAGCTTTTAACAGGCTCCCGCCACAAGATCATTTTTTGTTTTGTGTATAGGAGAAGGGGCATATGAAAGAGGAAAAGAAGAGTTTTTCCGTAAAAATTTGCAAAACAAATTGAACTGGGCTGACACTTCACAAGAGGTTAAAACAATTCAAAGACCAATAAAAATATATGCTGCAAATATTTTTTAGAAGAATAAATTGTTATTGTCATGAACTAAAAACAAGCTTAGAAGGAAACAAAAAATTATTGTCAGACAATTTAGAATATAAATACAGAATACGAAATTATAAACAGATCGACCAACTTGGAACCCCAAACTTGTGAATGGATGATGATATTCTGATAGTCTGACTACCTTCCTTCTTTTATGTTTGCTTAGATAATTTTTAGGACACCTTGAAAGCTAATGAGCATTGAGTTCTAGCTTTAGAGAGCACTTGACATAATATATAAATAAATAACAAAAACGCATTAACAAAATGCGCCACTTGAGCGCGAACAAAAATAATGGAGCAGAGGCCAAAGCCGGCCACGGCAAGTCTCCGGAGCTGGGAACAGTACGACATGTACGTGACGCGACTCGAGTGTGAAACCACAGGAACTGTCAGACAATGCGAGTGGGAGATGAAGAGAGAGCAGCAGGCAGCCGGCAGCTGGCAGCCAGCAGGATGCCAGGCAGGACACTCAACAACGCCCTCTGATGTGGCCAGCGTGTTTGTTTGTTCAGCTCGAGCTCGAGATGGAGCTGGAGCTGTAGCTGGAGCTGGAGCAGAAGCTGTAGCTGCCTGATGATGATTGTGCAGATGATGAAGTTGATGATGATGAAGTTGCTGTTGCTGTTGCCAGTTGCCAGTTGCCAGTATTAGCCACAGCCCAAGTGTCAGCATTGAGCATGTCCTTAGCAATGAGATACACACGCTGCCGTTGGGTCAAACCCGCTCGACTGCCAGGAGCATGTGTCTGAGCTGGTAACAGCCAGGTCCCAGACATGACCATTGCTTGGCCGATTGTTTATGTTGTTGTTGTTGTTGTTGTTGCTGTTGCTGTTGTGTGTGTGTTTGTGGGTTACTTGTGAAATGAAGATAAATGTTTTAATGTAAAGTTGAAAGGCAGACAACAGAAGCACACACACTCAGCAACAATACAGGACGACGAGTGCCTGACGTGTGCCTGAATTGGTCTACGAAAGTTTTTGTAATGGAATTATGGCATTATATTAGTGCAGATATGCATATCATAAGCCTGGGCTAAGTACGTGGATAATACATAATGTAACCAAATGGTTTTACACGGCTTACTGTCACGTTCAACACATTCGTTAAATTAGCCAAAATGGCCAAGCATTCAACTAAACAAGACGTGTGCTAAGAAACACTTTGACCTTTAGATTCAGTACCTTAGATGCCACGACATAGTGTACGTGTTTTATAGATACTTAAACATAAAGTTCTTTAAAAATATTTGAAAATTTATTGGCAGCACGAATTCTTGCTTTTTAATAATAAATAAGCTTAGTCGAAAATCCCAAAGAATATAAATTTGATATTACCCTATTTATTTACTTAATATTTTTTTGGTTCTTTTTTTGCAGATAACATTTATATATACATACCGTATTTTTTATAACAAATTGAAATATGTATGCATATACATTTAATATATTCTCGACCGTAGACTCCAAACATAAGGTAAGCAGGCGAGACATTTTTATTTATTTTAATTAATTATAAATACAAAGTTGGAAAACTATTTATGTTTGAATTATGGAACCAACTTTGTATATAGATAAAATAACTTAAACTTAAAATTATTTAAACCATATTTTAACAGTTTTTTTAAACAATCTTCTTATTTTAATATTTCCTAACAACAAGAACTAAAATAATAAAAAAATTTTCAAATTTTATGTTTGTTTAAGCTGCAACTGTTTTTTTTTTATTGTTTTGTTATGTTTTTCGCAATATTTCGGCACTAAATTTTCATGCCCAATTGCCACGACTAGCTTCGGTTTCATGGCATTCCGGAGAATGTGTTTTCCATATTTTGTATTCATGGCGCGTTTTTGTTATTTTTTATTAGAAGATGCAACCAAGCAAACCGCAACAACAACAGCAACAAAATAGAAACAACAACAACAACAAAGTAAGAAAAAATGTTTATTTACATTGGCGCGAATGGAATTTCTTTTCTTTGCTCAACTTGACTTCTGCCTCTTTTCGTTAACTTCTGTTTTCGTTTATTTTTATTTATTTTTTTTTTTTGGGTTATTTTTTGCGCCACTTGTTTGATGTAAATTATTTCAGCATAATTTGGCTCATTAAAATTCCATAAATGCCGCAGGCACAAAAAATGTTAACATTTCATTGCTTTTTTCTGGCACCAAACCCGACTCGATGCGATGTTTGTGTCGATAAGAATTGATTGCGTTGTCTCAACACCTCGCAGAACTTCAGATTCGCAACGCCTCAGCTTGGCTGTCTCTTCTCATAATTAAACGAGCAAGTGAGGATATCTTCGGCACGCCGAAGATGTAATACCCTTGCACACATTTGGATTACAACATTGTTATTTATGTGAGAATATTGAAGCATATTTTGTAAAACATAATATTTTGCCCAACCAATAACTTATTCTTCGACCGATATATTCTATAGAGATATTAAGATTAATACTCTATTGCGATCAGGATATGATTTGGCTCACATATAAGCAGCATAGTTTAACTTGTACATGCCAGGTTTGTATATTGATGAAGTAATAAGCTTTCCATACAAGAAGCTACTTTTCGACAGATCGTTCCTATTTCAGCTATATTACATTGTGGTCCGATCAGGCCGGTTCCGAAATATATACTGTCTGCAACAGAGAGACAGAACTATGCGAAGTTTCCAGATGATAGCTGAGAGATAACTGAGGGATTAGTTCGCATAGAAACAGACGAACGGATGGATGGACAGACATGGATATGGCTATATCTACTCGACTTTTAATGCTGATCTAGAATATATATACTTTATGGTTTCGAAAATGTTGCCTTTTATGCGTTACACATTTAATGATAAAATTACAATGCCCTCTACAAGGGTTTACAAATTGTGTCAGGCCCTGTCTGTTTATGGGACATCCTGCTGATCCCCTATCGGACTGATGCTGGGCAGTTGCTTCTTTACGCATCTCTCTTGAAAGTTCTGCTTCTCTCGCTTCAGCATTTGTGCACACATTGCACGCACATGTTTTGTTTATACCCTGAAAATATTTTA